AAAAAAAAAAAAGACCAAGGTAAAAAAATTGCTAAAAAGATTTTCAGCACTTCATTATTGCAGAAAGCCACAAACAGCCAAATATCAACAATAGTTTACCAGCTTCAAATCCGAGAAAAAAAGCTGGCGGTAAGACGGAACTACCAGGACAATCTTTTGGTGCCATTTCTGTGCATTTCTTATGACAGTTGAATTTACAGTCTGAAAAATATGTCACTTTTCTTTGCAGTCAACAAGTGCTGTATTCAGAATACTGTAGAGATATAAGTATTCTGTTACTTTACTGTATCATAATAGAGAAAATTTTATAAACAGCTCTAACTCAACAGTCTGAGATATGCGTACCATAACAGAACTTTACAAAGAGCAATGCCGCTGTAGTGGTGTTGCTAAAGTGCGTTCTCCAGTAGAAGCAGTATTTCTCAGCAAAAATAAGCTTTTTGAACAAAGAGGAAGTTTTTTAAACTTTCTCTTCATTCAAAAACCTCGTCCTTGCTACTGACTTATCACTAACTTAATTCCGTAAAGATCATTTCTTCCTATTCCTACGCTGGTCTTCCAGCCATCTTTAACTTTCTGCTCTTCCTCCTTATTCCAATCTCCTTAGTCAATTTCCTTGCTTACTGCTTTAAAAGTTAACAAACGCAAATCAAAACTGCTATTCCAAATTTTGGCCGAAGCATACTAAGAATTGAAACGATTTTAATTGCCTTCTTTTCCGTTTCTTTCCTCCCTCCACATTCCTCTTCTTCGTTACACCCTTGTAAAATCTTATCAGTTCGAATTAATTTTTTTTTGATGCTACCCAATATCGGAGGCTATATGATTGATTCGGCAACACAGTTACTGCACTTTACAGATATTTCAAATAGCAATTCAGCATCATCTTTTGAACGCTGCCTAACAGTTTAGTTTGAAAAAACCAATCTTTTGCCATGAATGCTTTCCTTCATTTTCGCCACTTTCTTCGCTTTCCTAACTGATGCTAAATAATGATGAATAAACTTTTGAAATCAATGGATCAGTGTGAAACTGTGTAGAAAAAAATAACAAGAAAAATTCAGTCGACTAAACGCCATCCCGAACATATTACACTTGGCTTAAGCAGGCTAATAGATACAGAAAATACAGGTGACGAAACTGGTTACCTCGGCATTGCATACCCTGACGAATGAAACCTTTGAGCAACTTCTTACATATCTGACAAACAGTGAACCGCTTGTAGGAGTGAACTTCGAAGGTGTGGGGTACCTTAAATGTAAGCTTTAGATAACTTACAGTAGATCTTAATCAAAAATAGAATAAAACAATTATAAGCACTGATTAATTAGCAATAATTCCTTAATCCGCTATACACGGTCCTTAATATTGACAGCGATTCGAGTATCAACAACGATCAAAGCAGAAAAGACAGCTGACTATCTCAAAGGTTTAAATATAACAACAATCTGACCAACCATAATTATTATTTAACATCAGTTACCTTGACCCTACTTGCGTCTGCAACTTCCATCCACAGTGGTCTACCGCTCCAACTGCAGCTTCGATCTTTACGTGGCATTTGCAATTGCTATAAAAGGAATCAAGAAAAAGTCACATTGACCGTATCCTGTTTAAACAGAGGTTTCATTCAAACTTTGTTGTCATTTATCGCTTTTTTCCTCTTTTCTTCTGCCTTTTTTTAGCCATCAAAATGTAACTGTTATTCTAGCTACAGCAGCTACAGCAAATAATCAAAAAAAAAAAATTAAGGTAAAAAATGTAGACCTTGAAATAACATTTGATGGAAGTAGAAGCTGGTTAATTTAAAATAACTACCGAGATAAAAAAATAGTGGAGAGGGAAGCGGTGAAACTAAGAATAAAATGGTCTAAAAACTGCTATGACGTCAAGCTGCGAAAAATAATGTCATCAAATAACGTTATGTAGCAATATACATAGACATATTCTAGACCCTAGAGAAGATAGCCATTAAAAAAATTAGACAAACCAAATTTATTTAGAAATTACCCATTCAAATCAAAAATTAGCTTGTCAAACTTTATCTTTTCACTCCTATCATCCTTCTTTTTCCTCTACTTTTCTATATAAAAGAAATTTTTATTACTCTTAGTTTTCTTCTGAACTTTTTTCTTTTTTTTTGGCTTAATTATAATCAAAAGCACTTTAAGAAAGCTGTTGCAAGAAAAGTTATAAGCTAAATGGCAATACAGTAATTTAGTTTGATCTTACCCACCACTGTTTTAAAATTAATCCCAAACTTCAGCAATCAATAGATTGGCCAAGCAAATACTGATAATAGTGATAATGGCAACACTCAGAAATACAAAATTTAATTAGTTAGAGGAAAACAATGAGATATAGAATAGAGAAGAAATACTGCAGATAATTTTTCCTCTACAGATTTAGGCTGAGCTAAACAGATTAATAAAAAAATTAGACATATGTCGAATGCCTAAAGTGTACGTTTAAGTCAAAAATAAATTTGAAAAAAAAAACAACAAAAGTGAGAAGCCAAAGCAGCTTCCTAATTTACGCTGTTTTAAGACTTTTATTCTAATGAATGCTCTACAATTTTTTTCTGCCTAACTTCCTAATAGTCAAAAAATAATAAAACAAAAAGAAAATAATGAATCAAAAAATAAATAGATAAATGAATAAATGAACGAATAAATGAATAAATATATAAATATATAAATAAGTGAGAGAGAGAGAAAAAAAGAACTTTGATGCAGTAACAGCACTTAAATCTTAAAAAACCGAGCGCAAATCAATCAACATCTTAAAAAAAATTCAGCCAAACAAAGAAAAAAAAGACAGAATTCCCAAGTTTCATTAATAGCCAAACAAATAAACTGACAACTGAGCTAAAATTAGCAACAAGAAAAAAAGCCTCATACATTTCCGCCACCAAAGTCACCAATTTCTGATTCCGTATGTGTGATAAGAATATTTGGTGTTGCTAGCTGATTAGAATTGGCCTTTGTAGAAATTGGCTGTAAATATACATATAAATACTTATTATATTTTCAATGTTTAAGTCAATCAAAATCTTCGTCATATTTCTT